AAAAGTTGCAAAGCGAATGGCAGGCGTGTTCGCCGTATAGCCAAACGGGAAAGCTGGACACGCTATATATCCTCAATAAACTCCTACACAGACATCAGCAAGGTTTATAATAGGGTGCATAAACTTAAAGGACAAGGCCCAAATCCCTTCCCTTTGGTGAATGACTGCGGTGATACAATAGAAGAACAGGCAAACGCTCTTGGCGAACACTTCGAGAAAACTTCAAGCTCAGAAAACTATACCACTAAGTTCTTACGCCACAAAAGCATAGCTGAAAGTGTACATCTGTGCCGGAACAAGCCTGGATCAGATGGATACAATAAACCACTAACAGTATATGAACTGAAGCTCGCCCTTGGTTCCTGTGGAAGTTCTGCTCCTGGTTATGATACAATTACTTATTAAATGATCAGAAATCTCCTTGATGAAACCCTGAACTGCCTCTTAGCACTTTACAACAAGATTTTCAATACCGGAAAAATACCCTCTGCTTGGAAAGAGGCAATAGTACTACCAATCCTTAAACAGGGCAAAGATCCCTCTTCCCCCTGAGGTACGCCGCACATTATTTGCTTCATCTCTGGCTTATGTATTAAGACTTACAAATTGAAATCTATCTGAAAAATAACTCTTTATCAGTTCTAAGGTAACGCCTCTAATTCCATATTCGGGAAGTTTGTTGTACACCTGTTTCACTCATGAGTAACAGTCAGATAAACTCTTAAAAAAAAAAGTTTATACGACTGTTAAAAACTAATGTGTTGCAATAAACAGTTCACAGTTATAAAAAAAAAAATGCACTAAGGTGTGTCAAATGGAAACACGCAAGGAGAAAAGTCACCTCTGATCGGATCAGCTGCGTCTTGCCGAACACGCTTTTGAGATGTCACTCACTCATCAACATCTCAGTCATGACTCGTAGATGAATCCTTGTATGGCAGGCTGACATTTACTGAATCAAGTTCCGATTTGTCAGTCGAGCTTACTCGCAGAGGAAAGAACAGCGTGCTCTTCTAAAGTGCTAGCGAACTGCCCGGGTAAGTGCACTAAAGAAAACTGTATGGTTGTGAGCATGCCCGGAAAGTAAAAACAAGGGTGATATATAATAATCCTTCGTTTTATCACCAATGAAACAGACGCAATTTATGCGAGTTCCCAAAACAGGCAACGCAGCCTCAGATGCATCATTTCTGCCAGTCAGCGCCTGCACAGAAACAGGGGTAACGGTGAGCTTCATCAACTTACACGTCCCGGACAGCTCCATACAGCGCCCGCATTTGTTTTTCGCATGCCTGGCAGCCTGCGGGCAGCCCGGGACCATCCGAAGAATTTCTTTCGGGCAGCTGACAGCGTGGGGCGCATGCCAGTGCAGCCATCTTAAGTTATACACGGAAATTTTTGACGTGCTCTTGCTCTCTGTTTGCTTTTCTGTCCACTTCTCGCATGTTTCTGGATTTCGCATTGTTTGCGCACCCAGTTTTTGTCATCGGTGTGCTGAGCCATGTCGTGGATGTGTGTATTCTCGAAGGTCGGGCAAACGCACGTTATACTCGCTAGGAGAAACAGCGGTGGACAACAGCTCTTTTTTTCTCTCTCTCTCTCCGCTCGCACCCTTGAAAAGAGAAGGGTCTCTACGTGCGGAGACGGAAAACGGAAAAGCGTGGCACAGGCCCGTCACAGACCGGCATTTGAGAGAGAGCAAACAATCCGCCACAGTCTTTTCTTTCTTTTTCTTCTTTTCCTTCTTTGCGTGCAGCGTTGAGAGGGGCCCCCGCGGGATTGGGCATGGTGCTGAGAGCATTTTCGAAGCGCGGCTCCCCGTTAACTTCGTTATAACGAGGTTTGAGTGTATGTGTTCATAATGAATATTTGGATATAACAAAGTATTGTCGTGGCAGGTGGGACTTTGTTCTAATGAGGTTTGAGGTGTATGGGATTGACCCTGAAAGGGTATAGGAACACCAGGGGGTTGGCATTAATCAATCGTAGGTGCTCGCTATGTGTGCCTTATAAGCATATCATGGTTTTGGCTTATAAAGCCCCAGAATTCGAATTCTTTAGCTGTAAACAAGGTCACCTGCTTGTTCGCTGGCCCTGTTATGAATGCTGCATTTTGGTATATACAGTCGAACACGGTTATATCGAACCCACATATATCGAATTTTCTAGTATATCGAACTCATAAGTTATCTTCTTGAAATTCTTTTGTAAAAGTATAGAAATTCGCTCATTTATATAGAACAGTATTTTTACCCGCCTTTGAATATATCGAATGCCGTGAGAGCAGGAAGGTGCACTTCAGCACTCGCCACACCCTGCGATCTTCGCGGCTCCGCGCGCGGGTTGGAGAGCACGCTTCAACACTCGCACTTCGGCGACCATCGTGAGGCACCACGCTTCCGTCAAAACCCTAAACACTCAAAAAAGTGTAAGGGCAAGAGGGCTCGAACTGCACAATCTCTGACTTGTGGAACGGCTTTTTCTTTTTTTTGTTTCTCTCCGTCGTTCCTGTTCTCCGTACCCCTCGGCTCGGAGAGCAGGAATGAAAGAACCGACATACTCCTCCTTTCACCTTTTCTTTTATTTTTTGTTGCTGTTTTGCGAGGTTTGATCAGCCTACCACAGCTCGCGCCTTTTGCTGTTGCCGTCGCAGGTGGCCATGGTCTTGCGAGCGCTTTGCTTCTGTTATCGTGTCGCCTACGTACCATGGCATGTGCAGCATTTCTCTTTTGCGTGCGTGGTGTGCAAAGCCGCTGTAGACTCCTTCGATTGTCGACTACTCGTGTAGCTATGGCCAGCGTCAAGAAGCGCAAGACCCTTGACTTTGTGACGAAGTTGAAGGCTATTCAGCGTGTTGAGGCGGGCGAGAAATGTTCGACCGTCATGGGTGACTTCAGAATATCACGTAGCACTCTGAGTACAATGTTGAAGAATTAAGCAAATATCAAGACAAAGGCAGTGGAGCAGCGAACATCGGGAGCCTGTCATGTGTGCGCTTCTGCCCACAGGAATGTAGAAAAGGCACTCTATGCCTGGTGTTTAAAAGTACGCGCAAAGAGAGCATTCCGGTGGATGGCCCAATGCTGATTGCCAAGGCCAAATGGTTTGCCGCTGCACTCGGTGAAACAACTTTGCCGACAACACCGTGTGGCTTCACTGACTTAAGCAGTGCTACTACATTGTTGGCAAAACAAGTTCTACCAAAAGTGAACCTGTCAGCAGTCAGGACATCCAGCTGTGAATGACGATGGTGTGGCCGGAAATCTCCACGAAGTTTTCTCCCGCAGGATCTTCAATGTCTGGCGAGACGTGAAGACGGACACAGTGGCCAACTGCTTCCGCAAGTCAGTCAGGAACCGTTGAATTTGACGACGAGCGATAGAAGACGTGTTTCATTTCATTTTCATTTTATTATACTGTCAGCCCCATTTGGGCTATAACAGGGGTTGTCGTCTTGCTTCCCAGCAGCAGTTCCACACGAAGTATCTGCTGACGACTTCGTGTAGGCGGACTGCAATGTCCTGGCTGTTGCGAGCCTCGCTGACGAGGCCATAGTAGTTGCAATCGCAGGGGCTCGGGATACTCAGGCCGACAGCTCAAGTGATGAGGAGGGTCGTCCGGTCGAGACGCTGGCTACACATGCATACTCCACCGTTGAAGCAGCTGCAGCGTTCGGCGTCATTTGTCATTGTATCGGCGACATGGAGGGAACCGGACTGTCACACCAGGACAGCCTTCATATGATCGAGACTAGCGTCTTCAACTTCATTTCAAAAGCAAAGAAGCAGGCCATGATAAGCGATTTTTTTCACACAAATGAATCGTTCTGTTACGGCGTGTGTGCGGAATTAGTTGTCATTCTTTAATGCACCTGTTGTAGGTGATGATTCATTACTGGTAAGATCTCGGGAGCTCTATTTTTTCATATCGAATTTTTCATATATCGAACTAATTCGCGATTCCCTTCGAGTTCGATATATCCATGTTCGGCTGTATAAAACGCACTAATTTACTTTTACAAAAAATGCAGTAAAAGTGTATATCATTGCATCTGCAATGGTCCATGCAGCTCGCTCAAATGCCGCGCTTTGGAGATGTGATTTGCATCGCTTGCTTAAATCTCCTGTTATTCTAGACACCAATTAGACACGTAGCCCGACACAGAGAAACTTTGCATTGAAGTAAGGCGGCAGATTCGCTCAGTGGGATTTTGATTTTTCAGGATGAAGTCGAAGGATCAATGGGCACGGAGAACATCTTCCACAGGGCACTGCTTTTCTGGAGTTTTCAGGAGAAATTCGTCAATCAGCGACTAGAGCTGGCCAAGGACGTCGGGATGCCGTACAAGCCGCTGGCGTCCAAGTGAGTGGTTTCATTGGCTGAGCACATGGCACACTAACCTTGTAACATACACAGTGCTCGCACTCCTTTCTAGGTTGGTGCTTTCCAATAAGATTTCCCCGCTTGATGTGTTATCTTGTTTTCTTTCCTTTCCTGCCAATGTCTGATTGGCCGCGTAGCACTTAAAAATGCATCGCAAACAGAATAAAGCAGGATTTGTTTTCCTGGAACTGCTTGAGTCGTCCGTTTCCTGGGCTTGCTGTAATCCGGCCGCTGAATACGTAACAACCTGCACTGATGCTGCGGCAACGGCTAAGCCTAGCTGCATTGCCGTTCAGTAGCACTCGATGGTCACCGTAATAAGAAAAAAATGATTACACTCAGAGCAGGCGTCATTCGTAACGAAAAGTGACTTACAAACCTGCTGTTTTTCCTCATTGCTTAGCCATTCACCAACAAGTCAGAAGGCTGCAACGGTGCGTCTACTTAGCTCTGCCATCATTTCACAGTCAGTTTCAAGTTTTTTGTTTTGTTTTTTTAAAGACACGCTTATGAAAAAAGTGCAGCCACATCATGGAAATGTCATGAAACAGCACCAAATGACGCAAAATCGCGAAATACAGCGTTTTGTTCAGCTAGAACTGCGAAACAGCAATATTATGCAATATGCAATATCCTGCATTGGCATAGGACGCTAAATCAATGTGCAGCAGTAAGTGAACGACGCTTTATTAAAACCATCAAATACGCCCTGTAAAGCTGCAACATCGCAGCAAACCAAGGGACCTAGCGGTCTTCTGCCTCTTTGAACAACAAAGGCACTGGTTGAGTGCTTTGCACTGCACCCCACTACCCATGCTGCGTGAAGAACAATATTGACACTATAGAAATATTCATAGACAGTTCGCTAGCTACCGTATTTACACGATTGTAAGACGACCCCCCCCAAAATCGCATCTCAAAAAAAAAAAAAACAAAAAAACCTACGCGACCTACGCGACCAACAACGATCGATCGCGTAGGTCAGTCACGTAGGCCGCAAGCTTCGCCTCTAGTTCCGGAAAGCGGCCAGACTTCGGCCCGCGAAAGCCACGGCGCTTGGAGTCGCACGAGAAAATTTCCTCGCGCTGAAGCCGCCACTTCCACACCACACATTCACCGATTCCGAACTTTCGTCCTCATGTCACGGCACTCATGTCAGACAGAAGTGACTCGAGAGAGCCGGTCGTGGACACAAGCGACAGGAGCACGCGGCGACGCGCCCGCTTAGAAAATTGTATCACAAAGAGGAGCTCTTCCGTCAACTACCAATACCCCCCTTCGGCGGCTCTTCCATCGATTACCGGTGCTCCCTCAAGAGCCGTGCGCTCGTCATAAAGGCACTCGTAATGCGCGCAGTAGATGCTAAAAAAGAAAAGCTTTTGTGTAAGCACGCGGAAAACTATGCGCTTTGGGTTGAGCGGGAAACGATTCGAGATGACAATACATGGTTCAATTTCGATTCTAAGGTACATGGTTCGATTTCGATTATAAGACGACCCCCCAACATTGGATTGTCAAATTTGAAAAAAAGGGTCGTCTTACAATCGTGTAAATACGGTAATGCTAGCGAACTGTCTACGAATTTGCCTATGTATTGTCTGTGGATCTGTCTGCAGAACTGTCTACGGATTGCTCATTTGAAGCCTGTACTTCCCATCATTTTCAGAGGGGTACAATGATCGCAGTTCCACTTTCTTCTCCAGCTTATTGTATGAAACTCTAAGGATATTTACCAACCTGAATGGGTGATATAATATTAGAACTGGGCTCGAACATGGACTACGTCACAAATATTAAACTCGTTATGGTGCCTTGCTTGGGATTCCTTTGTATTCAGACTTTTCCCTTTCGTCATGAGCTCCTTAATTTTGCTTACTTTTCTAAGTAGGCCTAGAGGCACCAGTCAAGTGAAATAAATTTTCATTTGATTGCTTGTAGGGGCAACACTGGTATCGAGCTGAACCCAGGTAGTGTGCCGCAGCTGCGCAAGAAGAGCACCGATGGCAGCCTCAACACGTCGCTGTCGAGCATCCTCTCCTGCAAGCTTCGTGAAGGCTACGCCCTGCGGAGCATCTCCACGGCCAAAGGTCAGTTGGTGCTGCAGCAGCTACACTTGCGCTATGACAGCGACAACGACTGTGTGGACATTCTGTCTCACGCAAGGTCATTTCCTGGCAATTTTTGTCTGCTGTTTGGTGAATGTTGTACCAATGCTGAGTAAAAAATAAAAAGGGGCCTTTTTAAAGATCATTGGCCTCTTTAGGGTGCATACGGTGAGCACTGACATCAAATTTACTTATGTTAAGATTTTTGCGTCATCTAGTAGCTATCGATCGTCTAGTAGGGATTCGAGACCTAAAATGCATCAGAGTGACGAATGAATATCTGCATTATTCATTAATATATTCGCTATAGAACTTGGTTCAAAATGGCTCGAAAGCCCGCCAATTGTGTGAAATCCGCCACTCGGCAACACGATGACGTCCGCCATCGGGGTTTGTTCTGGTGTAGATCAAGGCTCCTTCTAGTGTACAGGCGTCCCCCTAGTTTCGTATTTAGTGAGGCATTCACAAACAGTCGTTTCCAAGTCGGTTTACAGCAAGCTGCAGCCGCTTCGCGCATCTCTACCGCACATGGTACCTACCGAGGCCGCCATGGCTACATCTGATCGGCCTCGCTCGCTGAGCGCTTGCGACGATCGGCACTTGCCGTGCGTTTCTATGTTTTTCCGAGTTCACCAGGATAACTCGAAGAAGCTAGACTTCCGAGCACGAAAGTTTGCAAGCAAGAACAAGTACCAAGGGCGTCGACGTAACCCGAAGCGCAAAGCAGCGGTAGAAGAATGCGAGCCGCGGGCCACTAGCCTAATCAAGGCAGCGGGATACGGCGGCTTGCGGGAACTTTGACGAATCGACGCCGCGATCAAGTTCATCACGCATCAGAAAAAAAGATTGAACAGTTCGAAAGCGAAAGACCGAAGAGTGTTTGTGGCTCTGTGAGCGGAGTATTTTGTGACATCGCGCACTGACATCGATGGTAAGCTGTGCTGTTTGTCCAACATGCACACCGCTGGACTCGTCGTTCGCGACCCGCAAGTAAACGTAAGGGCCCTCTCATTCGTTCCTAGAGCTGCACTGTGATAACAGTGAGTGTCCTGATCAGTGGTTTCTGCCGCGCATAGTTGCGGCGTGTTCTGCTGCCGAAAGACAGCCCCCCGATGCCGGTGATTGATGGAGCTACCGAACGCGGCAGCTCGCGCGACAGCTTCGCTGTCAATGTAAAGGTATTGTGCTGCGCGTGCAATAGGCATTGGGCATGAACAGCTGTCGCGTTTTTGCGCTATTCTTGGACTGCCAACACCTATGCATCATAAGACTTTTATTGCAATCGGCAAAAAAGTTCATGCTGCAGCTACCAAAGGTGTGCAAGAAAACCTGGCGAAAGCGCGGATGATAACTAAAGAGAAAGTGGATGGGGCTGATGTTGCTGTCATGTATGATGGCACATGGCAAAAAAGAGGGCACAAGAGCCACAATGGCATCGACACTGCTGTGTCTGTGGACACTGGTTTGTGCCTAGATTTTGAAGTGCTATCGAATTACTGCCTTGCCTGTAGCCGGCACCAGACTTGGTGATGAGGAAGAATATGGCTAAGCATTCCACACACCTGTCTGCGAAAAAAATCCGAGTGCTCCTCTCATGCCATGGAACTGAGGCAGCTTTGCGCATATGGGGCAGGACATCCTCATACACAACACCATTGCGCTTCACCAAGTTCCTCATTGATGGGGACGGCAAAGCTTATACCGCTGTCGCTGAGGCCAAGGTATATGGTGAAGCTGTTGTGGACAAGGAGAATGCACAAACCATGGGCCAACGTCTAGGCACGCACTTCGGAAACTGCCAACACGACTTCCACGGGGAAAGCTGACAGATGGCACAATTCAGAAGCTGCAGAACTATTACTGTATTGCAATCACAAACAACAGAGGTGCACATTTTAAACATACAGTAAAACCTCACTAATTCGAGGTCACTGGGGCCGCGAGGAATCTTTGAATTAAGGGGAGATGCGGGTCGAAAAATCGCGTTTTTTGCGAAAATTTCCACTTTTGAGATATTGCTTCTAAAATCACTTTTGATCATTCAACTATCATTTCCCCAAAGGTCATAGCTGAATTCAAACAAAAAAGTGGTAAAAAGTCGATCTGCGCTAGTGAAGGTAGCTGCGAAGTCGCGAATTCACGCATCCGACGGCTATTTTTGAAAATCCGCCACTCGGCAACACGATGACGTCCGCCATCGGGGTTTGTTCGGTGGTGTAGATCAAGGCTCCTTCTAGTGTACAGGCGTCCCCCTAGTTTCGTATTTAGTGAGGAATTCACAAAACAGTCGTTTCCAAGTCGGTTTACAGCCAAGCTGCAGCCGCTTCGCGCATCTCTACCGGTCACATGGTACGCTACCGAGGCCGCCATTGGCTACATCTGATCGGCCTCGCTCGCTGAGCGCTTGCGACGATCGGCACTTGCCGTGCGTTTCTATGTTTTTCCGAGTTCACCATGGATAACTCGAAGAAGCGAGACTTCCGAGCACGAAAGTTTGCAAGCAAGAACAAGTACCAAGGGCGTCGACGTAAACCGAAGCGCAAAGCAGCGGTAGAAGAATGCGAGCCGCGGGCCACTAGGCCTAATCAAGGCAGCGGGGATACGGCGGCTTGCGGGAACTTTGACGAAATCGACGCCGCGATCAAGTTCATCAGCGCATCAGAAAAAAAGATTGAACAGTTCGAAAGCGAAAGACCGAAGAGTGTTTGTGGCTCTGTGAGCGGAGTATTTTGTGACATCGGCGCACTGACATCGATGGTAAGCTGTGCTGTTTGTCCAACATGCCACACCGCTGGACTCGTCGTTCGCGACACCGCAAGTAAACGTAAGGGCCTCTCTTCGTTCCTAGAGCTGCACTGTGATAACAGTGAGTGTCCTGAGTCAGTGGTTTCTGCCGCGCATAGTTCGCGGCGTGTTCTGCCGGAAAGACAGCCCACCGATGCCGGTGATGACTGGAGCTACCGAAGCGGCAGCTCGCGCGACAGCTTCGCTGTCAATGTAAAGGTAGTTGTGCCTGCGCGTGCAATAGGCATTGGGCATGAACAGCTGTCGCGTTTTTGCGCTATTCTTGGACTGCCAATACCTATGCATCATAAGACTTTTATTGCAATCGGCAAAAAAGTTCATGCTGCAGCTACCAAAGGTGTGCAAGAAAACCTCGCGAAAGCGCGGATGATAACTAAAGAGAAAGTGGATGGGGCTGATGTTGCTGTCATGTATGATGGCACATGGCAAAAAAGAGGGCACAAGAGCCACAATGGCATCGACACTGCTGTGTCTGTGGACACTGGTTTGTGCCTAGATTTTGAAGTGCTATCGAATTACTGCCTTGCCTGTAGCCGGCACCAGGACTTGGGTGATGAGGAAGAAATATGGCTAGCATTCCACACACCTGTCTGCGAAAAAAATACAGAGTGCTCCTCTCATGCCATGGAGACTGAGGCAGCTTTGCGCATATGGGGCAGGACATCCTCATACACAACACCATTGCGCTTCACCAAGTTCCTCATTGATGGGGACGGCAAAGCTTATACCGCTGTCGCTGAGGCCAAGGTATATGGTGAAGCTGTTGTGGACAAGGAGGAGTGCACAAACCATGTGGCCAAGCGTCTAGGCACTGCACTTCGGAAACTGCCAACACGACTTCCACGAGGGGAAAAGCTGACAGATGGCACAATTCAGAAGCTGCAGAACTATTACTGTATTGCAATCACAAACAACAGAGGTGATATTCTGAAAATGCATCGTGCCATCTGGGCCTCATATTTCCATTCATCATCGAGCAACACAGCAGGCAGCCACCGATACTGTCCAGAAGGGGCGACTTCCTGGTGCAAGCATAGGCGAGCCGAAGCGCTTGGGGAGGCCCCACCCGACCGCACACCAATCTTGACCAAGGCTCAAGGATTGGCTGTGCTTCCCATTTACAAGCGGCTCACAGATGAAAAGTTGCTGGTGCGTTGTATCCAAGGGAAGACCCAAAACGCTGCAGAATCTTTGAACAGCAAAATCTGGTTGTTGTGTCCGAAGACTAAGTTTGCTTCCCGGACAACAGTGGAAACTGCAGCTGCTATGGCCGTGTTGTGGTTCAATAAAGGACATTCAAGCTTTGAACACGTGCTAGAGGAGCTTGGTGTAGTCCCACCAGATCAACTGATCACCCTGGGCCAATCCCGCGACCAGAGGAGAATCGAAAGAATGTCTGCGTGTGAAACAGCCGAGGCAAGGGCCCATCGGCGGAACGTGGCAAAGAAAGCGTGCCTTGATGACTCCCTTCTCAAGCGGCGAGAAGGATCCACATATGGAGCAGGACAATTTTAGGTGCTCTAGCTGTGTCCCTTCTATGATATCACCAAGTTTTGTGCAAATCGCACTGTGTAATCATGAGTAAACATATTTAACAACTTTCAAATGCATTTTTCTCGATTTCCATTTTGAGGTAATTCTCTCATCTTGGTGCACAATCTTTTTTAGGCATAAATAGTCCTATCTTGATGAAATTTTGCACAGAGCTTAATCAGCCACTCTAGAATACAAGTATCTACTTTAGGTTGCATTATACATCACAGATTTTTTGTTACACAACTTGATACACTGATAGAGAGATGTAAAATATGCATTTAGTACTTTTAATTTTTTTTTCAATGTAGCAAATAAATTTTCTGTTTGAGGTACTTTTCTGTATTGTACTGCTCAAGTGCAGCAGAATGAGCCCTTTTGCAATTCTGTGTGAAAATTTTTAGTAAGCTTTATTATGTGCACAAAAAACACTATATTTTGATATCAAAGTTGTAGTAACTCCGGAACTACTATAGCTATCAAAAAAATAATTGCAGTTATGAAATCAGCACTGCAAGCTTTACTAACACCTAAAATTTCAAGGAGCTGGGTTATGAAATAAAAAAAAACCTTTTTCGAGTAGCATCTCCCCTTAAAGGTTTATTCTTAACACTTAACACTTAGTATTGCAAAACATTTATTCATTTACTTCATTATGATTGATATTTTGTTATCTCTCGGTGTAGTGTATTGAGGCTTGAGTAATGAGGTCTTGTCTAATTTTAATGAATATTTTGCTGTATTATATGCTCGAGGTTTTTGAGGACAAATCTGTTAGGAAGGTTGAGATTACTTCACTTTATGCATTACCTTGTTTTATCTATTATCTCTCTTTACTCAGTAGTTCCCTAATGAAGTGCAAAAGTCGAAACATGCAAAAGGCACTATTGAGGCCCATGGTGCAGTCAAACCCGTTTATAACAAACTCGAAAGTGTCATGATGGATGGTCATTATATTAGTCGAGCTTTGTTTAGACTGACCACTGTTTCAAAGAGCTGTGTCCGGAAATTATCACCATCGTCCGGAAATTCGTCAGAAGTTTTTTTATTCAGTCATTGGGTTCAGAGTGCATTAGTGTTCCTTCCTTATGCTTGATTGGCACTGAATTCTCTTTTCTGAGTGTATTATTATGAGTGCACTAGGTTGTTCAAGTTATGGTGGTTGCTGCGCATGATGCACGCTACGCATGCTTTCCTGGTTCTGGTCCGTATAAAAAAGTGGAGTGACGCAATGAATGATGTCAGTCGAGTGTAGCGCATTGTCCTGTTGTTCTTTCTTGTGCTGTCGTTTCCCACTAAAAAAAAATTACTATGGATTCACGCTGGCTAGCTCACCAATGCACTGTCAAAACTTCAAACAGTCCTGGAAGTGGAAAGGTTATCAATAAAATTGACCTCCGAATCCTTCGCATCCTGGCCAGTAAAGGTTGGAATGCCCAGCAAGGTCCTCAAACTGCGGGCTGCATGCGCATGTGGCCTTCACGTGGGGCTGCAGTGATCAAGGGTGTGAAAAATGCTGCGATCTGTTCCAAGGATGACGAGGCCATTTTGAAGCGCTGTGGTCGCTTACCAACGGTCGCACACTACGAGGTCGCCCAGAGCGAGCCTCATTATAACAAAGTTGCATATTCCACAAAAATAAGCTCGTTATATCCAAAAATGCTTTATAAAGGTATATTCTTAACACTATATGTATTGCAAGACTATTCTTTCTTTACTTCATTATAACCAATATTTTGTTATATCTAGATTCACTCTATTCGAGGTTTGTGTCTAGTTTCAAGTCATTGAGTGCTTTAGAATGAACATTCAACCAAAGCACAGAAAACATTAAATTAGAGAGAGATAACAGTATCTGTTCGCAAAGGCTTCTTCTATTCCTGCTTTTCCCTTTTGTAATGAATTCTGTTGCTTAGCAAAAACGACAAGTAGTGTGCAGGGAACTTTTTCTTGTGCGACTTTTTTGTAGGAGAACTGGAAATCAAGCTGGTACTTCCGTGGAAGTTCGATGTTAACATCGAGTATGTCGTCATGGTTCCATGGCAGTCTTCAAGCAAGAGGTAAGCTGTTATACGATTCATTTCTTTATAACTTTTTTTTTATTGCATAAAATATATTTGTAATGCATTGGTAATGCATTGGGCTCTTCGTCATGGCTAACAAGACTGATAATTCACTGGCAATTCCATGTCCTGTGAGGGTGCTACCACCATTTGTAAAGGCGTTTGCACATTGTGGCGCAGACATGTCCAGCGAGTAGGTCGCAGTCAGGGTTAACAGCTGCAGAGTGGTAGGTGGCGTTGTGCTCGCGAGCGTTTATCACTATTATTATCATCATGGCGAGTGCAGTAGCGCCGCCAGTGACGCCTGGTGGCGTGTCTCGGTGGCAACGCATGAGAGACAAGCGGTCTTCTTTGGCAGTTGGCGCCAACGGTTGTCTTCCGCGGTGGGTCCATAGGTGGGCGGCACCATGCGTTGTCTGCTGCGAGCCCTCGTAGTGAGCCGAGTGTTGGCGTGGCCGCCCTCGCGCTACCTTGTTCTTATGCTTGATTGAGTCTATTGGAATATTGTATAAGGGTTGAGTTAGCGTGTTGAGTGATGTCTTTTGAATCGGCTGACGATATTGTTACGTACAATCCAAATGGTGTACGAATAACTGTTTATTGGGGCTAACTTGTGCCCGAAAAGTAAAGGAAAATGTAGCGGCGTTTCCAACAGGCAATCAGCAAAAGGGGATCAATCTCCGAGAGACCCTCGAGCGGTGCACCACTTCTTTTTCATCAAAATCCCGTCCTGAGGAGGCGCTTGCCTGTCACGGCCTTTTCTTGTTTCATCATCAAGCCGCTGGTCTCTTGGGGGGCGCACGAACTAGCGCGCGTAGTTTGAATACTGCGTTTGCCTTGCGTCATTATCCCTCCTCCAAAAACTCATCGTCCCGATGCGTAAAAGTAGTGTTGCTGAGATGGTCTAAATGCGTGGTTTCCATTGGAGAAATAGGTATTCCTCATGATCGGGTGTGTACAGTTTGATGTTCATTGCCTGTCATAGTATGGCTTCATTCTGACTACATGCACGATTTCTGTGCTCTTCGGCATTTTGATGAGCTCACTTGTCCTTCCGGTGACACCTCGTAGTTCAAGGAGCTGAAGCGACGAAAAACTCGGTAAGGGATAGCGGCGCATGAGCTTTTCGGAAAGGCCAGGCGTCCGCACGGGAGTCCAAATCCAAACTCGGTCGTCTGGTGTGTAGTCGGCTCCTCTCCGACGAAGGTTGTAACGATTTGCATCCACACGTTGTTGTTGTTTATGTGATGTCGCGCCAACTGCCTGTGCTTATTCGGCTCGCTGAATGAATTCGCTGATGTCAGGCTTGTGCTCTGTATTGTCGCCTACAGGCAGCATTGCATCTAATGGTGTGGTAACTATTCGACCATAGACTAGCTGGAATGGCGTCACTTTAGTAGTCTCCTGCACAGCAGTATTGTAAGCAAAAGTGGCGTACGGCAGTATCTTGTCCCACGTACCGGTGCTCCAAGTCAACGTAAATGGACAACATATCGGTTAGAGTTCTGTTGAGTCGCTCGGTTAGCCCATTCGTTTGGGGGTGGTAAGCCGTTATTTTCTTATGACATGTGTGGGTAAGTTTCATAATGGACTGCGTCAGATTGGCTGTGAATGCAGTTCCTCGATCCGTGATAACCACCTTTGGCGCACCATGCCGTAGTACAATGTTAGTGACGAAAAATTCAGCGACTTCTATAGCCGTGCCCCTGGTGAGAGAGGCTGTCTCGGCATACCGAGTTAAGTAGTCTGTCGCCACTACTATCCATCGGTTGCCCATTGATGACGTAGGAAATGGACCAAATAGATCTATTCCTACTTGTTCAAACGGAGATTCAGGTGGTTCGATTGATTGGAGAAATCCTGCAGGTTTCAATGAAGACGTTTGCGTCTCTGGCAATCTCTATATGTCCTTACATAATGCTGTACAGCATCCAGTAACTTTGGCCAGTAGTACTTGGTGCGGATGCGAGCCAATGTTCTACTCACTCCAAGGTGTCCTGCTGCTGGGTCATCGTGGCAGGCTTCCAGGATTACGGGTCGCAAGGCCGAAGGAACGACGAGTAGGAATTTCTCCCTGCTGTGCTCGAAGTTTCTCTTGTATAAAACGTTGTTTCTCATCAGGTACGAGGACAATCCTCGGACGAAAACTTGAAGAACACGCACGGGTTGCCCTTCCAGATGCTTGATCAGTTTAAGCAACTCCGCGTCAGATCGATGATATTCTGTCATGTCTGCGGTGCTGACGGCCCCAAGAAACAGAAAGTCGTCTCCATCTTCCACAGGTGCAGATTCCATTGGTGCGCGTGACAGGCAATCAGCATCGCTGGGCTTGCGACCCGACTCGTATACGGACTGTTATGTCGTGTTCTTGCAACCTGAGGCTTATGGTCTCCCCGCTACTAACTGCAGCGGACGATCGCTGCGGGTTCACGCTTAGCGAGCCACAGGGCCGCTACTCCATTTACTCGCGTGTAGCGCACCGCTCCGCGCTGCTTAACTAATAAGGCGTTTAGCGCGGCGCGGCAAATAGACAGTGTTCTAATGCAAAAATACACAACACTTTATTGCCTCTGGCGGCACCCCGAACAACAGTACAACGTCCGCTCCCGGGACGCGGGTAGCAAAGGCACCCGCACGCGGACGTTCACAATAAGGGGAAAACCGCGAGCACGTCGCAGCTGGCAATGGCGAGCTTTGACACGCCGGTCGGGAAAAGGTCCCTCGCGGCTATGCTGCACACTCTCACGATGGCCAATGGGCCTGGTCGCGAGTGTTAGGGCAAACCTCGTATGCGTAGGCCTACGGCAAGTGCGGCTCGTTGTGGTACGACCACTTCGAGCACTAGGCACCGCTGTGGGCTTGGCGTACGCTACCGAAGCTAGCACTCAAGTAAACACGCCTGCCGAGGGGCCCAAGGCCACCCCAGGCAGACTACAATCAGGCGATTCCCAAAGGAGACGCGGACGAAGGAAAACACGTGCGTACCCGGCGCCGACCACGGAAAAGCGAGCGCTCCCTCGACGCGCCCGTACCTCATGCCGTGCCTGCACGTGGTGCCATCTATCGCCACGCGTCGTTATCAGAGCAGGAAAAGCAAAAGGGTGTGGCCGTGCGGCGGAATGCCCGCAAAATGGTCGCAGGCGCGCCTCAGATCCCCACATCCTCCATCTAGCAAGTCGCCCAGAAGGGTCCTTTAGGCCTGCGAGCCAGCACAGCGAGTGACGGTCGCTCACTGCTCAAAATAGTCTACCATATAAGTACAGTCGGAATTTCTGTATGGCCCATATTACCGCCAGACATTCTTTTTCCGTCGCCGAATAATTTATTTCAGCTCTCGAAAGAGTGCGACTAGCATATGCAACCACTCTTTCCTCTCTGTTTTGCAGCTGCACAAGGACGGCGCCTAGTCCCAAATTGCTTGCATCCATGTGAATCTCTGTTTCGGCTTCTTCATGAAAATGTGCTAGTACGGGGTGGTTTAGGAGTTGCTGTCGTAGCTCATTGAACGCGGCTTCTTGCTCGATTGTCCAGGCGAAAGGCGTGTCTTCTTTCGTCAGTCGGGCTAGTGGTTCCGCAATCTTCGAAAAATCTTTGATGAATCTTCTGTAATAGGCACAAAGTCCTAAGAATCGTCTCACAGCCCTTTTATCCGTCGGTCTCGGAAACTTTTCTACAGCTGCTGTCTTTTCGGGGTCAGGTCGAATGCCTTCAGAGCTAACCACATGACCGAGGAAAAGCAGTTCATGAAAACCAAAATGGCACTTTTGGGGTTTTATCGTCATCCCTGCTGAACTAATCGCTTCGAGCACAGTCCGTAGTCGTTCCACATGCTGATCGAAGGTGGCCGAAAAGATCACGACGTCATCGAGATAAACAAGGCAGGACTGCCATTTTAACCCGGACAGCACAGTATCCATCATCCGCTGAAATGTGGCTGGTGCGGAACACAGGCCAAATGGGAGTACCGTATTTACTCGATTCTACCGCGCCCTCGATTGTAACGCGCACCCGATTTCCACCGTGGAAAAAAAAAACGTAAGACATCGATTGCAACGCGCACCCATTTTTCTCGCTGGCCCGCACGATCACACCACTCGAAAAAACGACTCCTTTCGGGAGCGTCTTTCATTTAAATATGAGGTACGGGCGAAGCTTGTGCCCATCTGACGTGTAACAGAGCATTGCCGTCACTGTAGTTTTACCGTGGACCAATGTCAGCACGCGAACTTGCTTCGCCCCCTTCTCGACGGTTGTGGTGCCAGGCATGTCGAAGTAAAGAGGCGTCTGATCGGCGTTCCCGATTTGCCCAAGCAGGTAGCCGTTGTTGCGCCCTAAGTTTAGGACGAACCTCTGAAAACTGTGAAGCTTTTCATCGTACTCCTCCGCAAAACTTTTCGCATATGCATGTTCCCCTTCGGAGGGAAAAGCGTTTCCTCTCCATAAAGTTAGTTAGCCAGCACCTGCTCGCTTTAAACTGGCTCCACATTAGACCTTTTTCTAAGACTAATTGCATAGCCCGCACTTCGAGCAGTTCTGTCGTCACGGGCGCTGTGCCGCTCGCTGCTCAAGCACGTACTCGCCGAGCAGCTCTTTAATTTGCGGAAACCGACCCTGCTGTGGTCCACTGAAGCCTTTGCGTGAAGCTTTGCTGTCGACAATCTTCTGCTTTTGTTTCCGCCGATCCCGCACGCACGTTTCGGGAACTCCGAACCACCGCGCTGCGGCCCGATTTCCGTCCGTTTCCGCACACGCGATGGCTTTTCTTTTAAAAGCGGCATCGTGGTGCACTCGAGTTTTTGGAGTCGGCCCTTCCACGCCGTCGATGCTAATGCACTACTAGATGACGAACTCCTCAGCACACGTACGAAGTGCCGCACATGGGAAACACATAGGCAGAAATGGCCGACGCGCCATGCCGACGCACGTAGGGGGCGGCCATTTTGGATTTGCCGATGGCAATAGATTGAACGTATTTTTTTTGTTCGTACTCGATTCTA